TTGACAATGAAATGTTTTGGAGTTAGTTTAACTGAAGTCGGTAACACTCATTTAGTTTTAAAGGTCAAAGAATGAAAAAATTAAGTGCGTAAGTCTATCATTAAAATGTAACTGTTCGTTCAACTTTTTAACTGATTCAGAAACTGGATCTGCAGCAATGTAACCCAAAAATAATAAAGGTTTTATATAGACTGCCTTGTGGCCGAGTGGTCGCAAGTGCGACTGCCGGGCAAGGGGCCTCGGGTTCGATTCCCGGATCGGGCAAAGTATTACTGGGTTTTTAAAAATCTCAGTAGTATCACGGAGCCTGGAATTGTGCCCGGTATATGGCAATAGGCTTACCCCCTATTACATGGGACTCATAACATAAATAGTGAAAAGTGGGTGTTACATTGTACAGTGGTATAATGTGCACCTCTGCCTACCCTTTCGGGAATAAAAGGCGTGATGTTATGTTAGTTTTTGCGTGAAATAATAACAAACACACATACATCCCCACAAACATTCTCATTTATAATATTAGTAGGATTTGACATTTCTCTTCTTCACCTATAAAACTAACTACACCCCCTGCACTTGTCCAATTGAGATTACTTCCCTGACCTTTGAAGGACATAAATAAAGGTCGAAGGTCAACCCCGTGACCTTTCAAACAAAACTAATCATACTAAAGGATTTACAGAGTTTCTAGTTGGCAAACATCGTCATCCTGACTTTGATAACTTGAATCTGATACCTATTAATTTTATTTAAAAGAGAACACAGGCCGATGCTTTGTCTTGTAACGTCGGACTCAAATTTCGGTAAAGGAGGTCAAAATGTTTTGCGTTCTCAATTTTTAGGGTTAAGTGATTTAAAGCGTAAATTCTGAATGCTTACTGGAACAGTTTTAGTGTAGCGTATTTTCATCTGTTTCAATTTTTAATTTGTCAAGTTAATAGAATAACGTTTATCTATCTGTCATTCAATTATGTTGGACAAAAAGTAGGTAGATATTTTGAATTGGTCCTTGACGGAGTTCATAAAAGTGCAATCAATATGACTGTGTATATTTATTTGGACACCCAGTTTTTGCTACATATTTAGTCAATTTAACATAACATAACACCACACCTTTTATCCCCGAAGGGGTAGGCAGAGGTGCACATTATGCCACTGTACAATGTAACACCCACTTTTCACTTTTCACTATTTATGTTATTAGGCCCATGTGGGTAGGGGGTAAGCCTATTGCAGTATACCCGGCACAATTCCAGACTCCGTGCTACTACTGAGATTTTTTTTTATAACTCAGTCTTACTTTGCCCGACCCGGGAATCGAACCCGAGACCCCTTGCCCGGCAGTCGCACTTGCGACCACTCGGCCACCGAGGCAACATGTTCAACATTAACTTAAAATTGGAAATAAATAATCTTACTACTAATGCACAACATTTGAAGGACATCACAGCATGCGTTGAGTCGAGAACACTATAACAATTAAATTAAACTGTCAAACACCGCGAGGACACCGGTGATCGCAACCTATTGTTCTATAATTGTGTCTATAATGACGGTACCCAAAGGCTTAAATTGACTTAAATTGTTACATTAACCAAATTTGTAATAAAATGTGTTATTACAATGGTAATTATAAGTTTTTTATATTCCTTAATTAAGGTTAGCAAAAATACATTATCGATGATTATCTCTCATTTAAATTAGTTTAGTTATTACTTAAGCTAATCTAATTAAAATTAAGAGGAGATAGGGTTTTTTTTGAAGGGGGGAAAATCATTGAATGACTGCTCCCGCCTGGGTGAGGAGGGAGGAAGTGTCAGACTCTTACTGACTAAAAACCACCCCGTTCCTTCTCCTGCACGTCGAGCCGGAGCCCCGGTTACCCGTTAGGTTCTCCGCGACGGGGTACGATAGGGTTACCGTATCTTTGTGGATAAAAACCTCAATATAAATAAATATAACTAAAAATAGGTTTTATATTGACTGACAACAATATCGCATTAGGCGTAACCTGTTAGGATTTATTAAATTTTTATGTAAATTAATAAATATTTTTTGATAATTTATGAAAAGTCTTTATGTAAATTATTTTAAAGTTTTTATTTCAAATTCCTTTGTTTTTCATTTTCAAACAATAATGCAGTATAGTACCTTAATCTTGCCAATTTACTAACCTCCAAATTACAATATTCAACCTCATTTTAATACATATCTCAGAATTTTTTGAAATATAAATTATTACAGCAGAAGTAGGGAAAGTTTTCATTGTTACTGTCAAAGTTTCAAACCCATCTGGTTGGACTTAGGACTAAGTAGTTTTTATAATGTCCGACAGTAGAAAAAGTATTATTAATTTTCTTTGTTTTTCAATCAAGATTTAACTAGTCTTTTAAGATAAAAGGCTGCTTATCAATCTTTTGGAAAAGCCTTTTCCTAAGATCTTAGGTGTCTAGAAGACGAGAGTTAACATAAATATTTTTATTATCTGAAACCTTTTTTAATATTTTTCATCAATCATACCTACGGCCACAAAGCCATCCCTCAGTATGGAGGCAGTGTTTGAAAATAAATTATGTATTACCTCTATTCATTCTGAGTGTAGCCCCTGGCTAATAAAATAACATAACATCACGCCTATTATCCCCGAAGGGGTAGGCAAGTTTAAGGGGGGAAAATTATTGAATGACTGCTCTCGCCTGGGTGAGGCGGGAGGGATTGTCAGACTCTTACTGACTAAAACCACCCCGTTCCTTCTGCACGTCGAGCCGGAGCCCCGGTTACCCGTTAGGTTCTCCGCGACACTATTTATGGTATAAGTCCCATGTAATAGGAGGTGAGCCTATTGCTATATACCGTTGACTAATATTATCTTCTATAATTTTTTTTTTATTAACTACGTTTAAAAAAGCGACTTTAACCAGGTGGTTAAAGTTAAGTTATATAACTCAATATCGATATGTTCGTTATAAAAATTGATATCGTACGATGTTGTTCTATGAAACGAAATTGCAGTTGTAAACTTTATGTACACTGCGACTCGACTATGACAATTGGATACTTCCCTTAATTAAAAATAAATTATTTCGATTGTGAAATATAAAAAAATAATCACACTTTCATTAATTGACTTACTGACCAACTTAATTTTAGTATTTAACTAGCAAATTTTTAAGAAATAAGTATGTAGTATGACGCTATAAAAACGTGAATATACATTACACAATCTCGTACAAAATTCATAGAAAACTGTCGTTTTTGACAGTTCGAAAAAAGTATTGAATTTGACTAGTTGTCAAGTATCTAATTATAACTCAAGAGTTGAGAGGTTATGGAGTCTCCAGTGAAGTGCAGGAAATCCTGTTCTATCGCTTTACCTGACAAAATTCTCATTCAATAGCACCGATTTTAGAATTATCCCAGTGTTCAATAGTGAATGATCCACGGCATGGTTGGTGCGGTGGTTGAGTGTCGTGTGTTTTTACGTGTCGCGGGATCGATTCCCGCACGGAACAACTATTTGTGTGATCCATAAATTGTTGTTTCGGGTCTGGGTGTATTGTGTATGTGAACTTGTATATTTGTAAACGCACTCACGACACAGCAGAAAATCCTAGTGTGGGGCAACGTTTAAAAAAAGAAAAAATATATATACTAACTATACTTTTGTCTGTCCTTTGACAACAACAGATTCTGAACTACTATGTACCAATACTTATCAAATTACAATAATCTAAAATCCGTATATAGTAACAATTACGTTAGTCTTTTTGTATATTTGATGGACCGACGTTTGACAATTATCTCGCCTCTTAGTAAGCGATGATGCGGTGCTATAGTCGATAAGTAAACGTACTAAATTCCATTTATAGCAAACGATAAAATCTCAAAAATACACAGCATCTCACTAATAGTAAAATCTTTAACCAAAAACCGCGCGACCTATTCCGAAGCTATCAGCTCCACATTACTTCCATTGCAAATATAAATTTAACCCTAAACCGTCCAAACCCTCTCCGGGCACTAAATAAGAGTCCGATATAGCGGCATACGTGCGTGTAGAGCGATCCAATTACCGGCATAATGGCTGCCACACATCAATCTGATACCACTTCTATTAAATTTTCCCAGCTGATACCGAAAATTTTAAGCAATAATTCGAATTTGTGGCAAAGATTTCTCTAATCATGCCATTTTCTAGCAATGTCTCGAGATTGGTTTTTCTATGATTAGCTTAGATCACAGATTTAACACAGTAACTGACAGTCTTCTTTTCATTATATTTTCATTTCATTAACTTAAGTCTGAATTAAACTCCGTTTTAATCAAAATTCCTCTGTAACTGTGTTATGCACAAAATCTTTACAATAATATTAACATAACCTTTATCCATAACTATTTCCCAGTTCAATTTATGAATCCGATAAAACCAAAGTACACAAAGTTACATCGTCATACCTAGAACGCTTCCATTTCGGTATTACAAATTTCTATATTTCCCGCTTGCGTATTTACCACCCTAAAACAACAAGCTTGCAGTATCTTTACCCGAGTGAAGCCACAATACTACATTGTTTGAGTCTACAAAATAAACCTGTACACCGAGTGCATGGTGGCAAGACTCGAAACCACATTTTATGGCATCTCGACACGCGACTGTAGCAAAACTTTTAAGTATAATGATCACGTCTGTAATTTTACGAAGTTGAACAGAAATTTTAAGGGTAAACCTAAATTACTTTCAACTACTAACGACTTTATTGAATCAAAATGTTTTAATTAATCAACCCCTCTCCCATTTACCACATCCAATAAAATAAAAAGATTCAATAAAATCCCCCACCTTCCAATTTAACCTCACAAATTCAAATATATGCAAAAGCATTTTAATAAAATCTCACTGCCGATGAAACTGAGAGCAACAAAAATCACTACCTTTGTTCTTTCGCTAACATTTCATTTCAAAAATGTTTCATTTATAATGAAAAACAATTTTGTTCCAGGTACTGACACAATGGATACGAGGAGTACCCGTGCAGCCGAACACAACAGATGAACGAAAATGTTCCACAGAATAAAAATTCAATACAATAAATGGCAGGATGGAGAGATTTATGAATAAGTTAATCGCGCGAGAGAATTCGATATGGAGGAACACAACTACCAATTCGTAATACAGAAATAAACAAACAGAGCAGGAAAACAACATACCAGAAAAAACAACAACAGCTCTGGACGATGTAGATGACAACAAAATTAGAGAAGAGCTTTGAATTGAGCTCTAAAATGAATCACCAGGGGGAGCTAATAAAAAACATGACCATACCGAAACTATGTACGGATGATTGTGAGAATGCATCGAAAATATCGTTCGAAGTGAAGCCGCCTGACCCCAACACTACGTTCTTTTATCGACATTACATCGATACGAACAATTCCGAGTCGGAATTCAACATCGACTATTTCAACGAAACTTTCAGTGATTCGAATTGTACGTTCAGAAATGGGACGTGTAGTGATGTGGACTATAATTTCTGGGCTCTGTCGTTGTTAGTGTTTCCTCTGTTGACTTTGTTCGGTAATGTCCTAGTGATACTTAGTGTTTCGAGAGAAAGGAGTCTGCAAACAGCTACGAACTATTTTATCGTAAGTCTAGCTGTTGCTGACTTGCTTGTGGCTGTGGTTGTGATGCCGTTTGGAGTTTATTACTTGGTGAGTTGTTTTTTATTCATATTTTTTAAATTAGGTGACCAAAAATCCAAATTCTAACCAAATACGGATGTGTAATTAAAGCATTACTTGAATGACCAGCTGCTGTGTAGGTATCGGGGTTAGATTCCCACCACGCAAAACTTTCTGATTGTTGAATAATGTATTTGATCGAGAAAATCCTAGATATCTGTTTGAACTTACAACTTTCACATTTTATTAAGATTTTTTAATATTGAAATCTATTAGGTTTGTAAACTAGAATAACCTCTTATTGAGTCACAACCTTCTTAAACTTGCCCCAAGCCATAATAAAAATTATGTCTACCACAGAAACAAAACGCAAAAAAGTAAATATTTAATTTCATTGTTGAACTTAAAACAAAGTTGTAATTAATTGAGGCTCTTTACTAAGATAAAAATGTATGAAATGTTAATTGATTTAATTTTTTTTTGAATAAGTAATGGACAACGGGAATCAAACTTGAGACTAACGATGTTTTTATTCTTAAACTGAGCTACTAATTGGATTTGTGACAGAAACAAATGGATTCCAATCTATTTCTTTTAACGTAGGTATTTGATTTGTGTTGCTGAAGGAGGCATAATCGAAATTAATTGTTCTACTGCTCACAACTAACAGATTTTGAACTCTGTAGTAGTGTTATTAAGTCAAAAGTCTATTGTAGAAAGATAGGATTGGATGCCGTGTCGGACAATGATGTCCGACGCTAGCGGAGGATCAACTTTTAACACTTTTTATCGGCATTTAAAGGCTTAAGGATTATATCCAACTACCCAAGTCGTTGAACTAAAAAAAAAAAACAATCAGCCGAACATAATACCTCCTCCTTTTTTTGAAGTCGGTAAAAAATAATCAGTGATTACACAGAGCTGGAAGTGCAACAACCAAATACAACGGTTTCGATTCTTGAGTGTACTAGAAGAATAAATTCCTCTATTAAAACAAATTTCACATTTAGGCACTTTATGATGGGACCATAATCTTTCTTCATGATAATATTTGATTGAGATTATAATAATATTAGGCGTATCTGTCAATGGCCTCATTAGTAAACGCCTCGACCAACACCTGAATAGGCTAGCGTTAGATGATTGGGTCAAGGGTCTGATGCAGAAAGCAGTACTTCTGGACACGGCGCGTATTGTCCGGAGATTCCTTTCTCTGGAGCCCTGACCACCGGTAGCTTGGATTTCTTCCGTTACTGGTGGGCTACCTACTGTTTTTCATTTTTTTAAATGCTTTTATATATATAAAGTGAAACCTGGTTAAGTGAGGCATCAAGGGACCTGCAATGTCGTTTCACTTAAAGAGGTATTCCACTTACACAGTGTCTCAGATATACAGGTATAAATAAATATCTGTCTCATTTACAGAGGGTTCCATTAATAGAGGTGGACTTGGAATTACGTATGGAATTTGTGGGTAGAATAAGAATGAGTAAACAAATAATGTTATCTCAGTTACAGAGGTTTATGCATATAAAAATTACTCGCTGTCTCAGTTATAGAGGTAACTATGATGATAAATCGAAAGAACGAATCCCAGATATAGAGGTTTACCTCGTACCACTAACAGAGGTAATACAGTGCCAAAGTGTTGGGGCCTTAGCATGAATTCTAGTTATGTAGGTTTCTCACTTATCCAGGTCCCACTTAACCAAGTTTTACTGTATAATGTAATCCTATATGTAACAATATACTTACATATATATTACATACCAAGTAAAGGAACCAAATAAAGGATAATTGAGATTATAACAAAAGCTTCACGAAATTATTACTTTACATATAATACCTGTTACCTTTAAACCCTTATAAACTTTTACCCAAACTAATTATCACTATAATATACTGAATATACTAATAATAATGAAGTCGGAGTCGGTTCAAGTGTGGGAGAGCCATGCTTCGGCACGAATGGGCCGGCTCGACCGGAGTGATACCACGGCCTCACAGAAAACCGACGTGAAGCAATGCTTGCATTGTGTTTCGTCGCGTGAGTGAGGTTACCGGAGGCCCAATTTCCCTCCCCTTCCCCAATCTCCCCAATCCCTGAATCCCCAACAATCCTCAAACTCCTAATCCACAAATAGCCGGTAACGCACTTGTAACGCCTCTGGTGTTCCAGGTGTCCATGGGCGACGCCGATTGCTTTCCATCAGGTGATCCGTCTGCTCGTTTACCGGCTTATGCCATAAAAAAAAAAAAAAAAAAAAAAGTCGGGTCACGTCACTAGTTGGAACTTAATTAGCGTATAATCCGGTACACAAAACGCCTATCAGTGTCTACCACTCAGCAATAACAATACGTTGCATACAAAGGCACAGATTTGCTCTGAATTCCGTGAATTATACTAGGAAATTGTAACCTTTTAATTTACTTATTTAAACTGTTTTTTGTGTGTTATATTAACAGTATTTTGGACTTATTTTTTGCACTGTATTTTTAATATTTATTCAGCGAAATTTTGTATCGAAGTTCGACGTATTTAAAAACTTTCCAGCCCCTCCTAAACAAGACTGTTAGCGTTTTAGTATAATTTGTGATATACTTTCTCGTTGGTCGAAAACTCGTAAATGCAACCGTCGAGTATGGAGTCTCAGGTTCGATTTTCTAGCAGAATCATCATCATCATTATCAGCCACTGGACGTCCACTGCAGAACATAGGACGTTCTCATATAGTAGAATATTTTTCGAAAATTTCTTAATTAGTTATATCAGTATCTGAAATTATGCTCGAAATACATTGTTATGTCAATATACTTACCTCTAATTACACAATGTGTAATTAGTGAAAAGAACAAGCTACATTGAAAAACAAGCACCTTTGCCTTCCTCTTCGAGAATTTTAGGACGTGACATAGTGTTAAGTGTTACCTATCGACACGAAGAATTGCCCCCTATCCTCAGCGCGTATAGGTATGCTAATTCCATATTATAATCCACTGCACAATATGTGTCTATCCATCTAAATAACAATACGCATGTGACAATGGATCGCTCCACGTATCGAGTGTTCGATATATTGGTTGCCATGGACTCGACACGTGTCGTATTAAATGATAGGTACCATATTTAGATATGTAGAGGTATATGTACGTGTGAAATGATATTTTAAATAGTACATATGTTGACTTTTATTTATTTACTAGCTTTTACCCGCGGTTTCGCTCGCGTCACAAAAGGATAAAAAGTAGCCTATGTGACATGTACCAATACGCACAGCGCCATCTATACCAATACTTTTGTTTTCCCTCGGGAATATCAAATTTTTCCGGATAAAAGTACCCTATTATTCAAACCGGACTTCTAACTTTACGTCTGCAAAAAATCAAAGCAATCGGTTTAGTAGTTACGGTGTGAAAGTGGAACAAACAAACTCACTTTCCGATTTATAATATGTATTAGTAAGGATAAAAAAGTGTGATACTTTCACGATCAACCAAAAGTTAGAAAAAAAATATAAATATATTGAGATAAGATATTAAGGACAGTAACAGGCTGACTAACTGGCTGACTAGAGGCTAAACAAAAGAATAGGTCGGTGTTTTAATGGTATTATGGTTTATGAGGTTATTTTCATTTAAGGTCGATTATCTGTAAGTGTATTACACTGCCCACGCCCACAGGTCAATGAGTTCAAATAACCAAATTGTTGATTAAACGTGAACATTGTAATTACGAAATAATTACCATCTACTAATGACCATTTACTTACAATTTCAGAAATCTCCATTTAATTAACAATACCTACGTATAGATTGGACCATTACTTGTAATTGTATGTTAAAGTTTCTGTTTCATAGAAACAGATATCGTCACGTCTTCTATTCCTCGATGAGTTAAGCAGAGGAGCACGTGATTATTTATGCTGAGGTGGATAAGAATTTACGAAGATCTTAACTACTATTCATTGCTTGTTCTTTCTTCTTAGCAGTTGGCAGTTATAAGGTGAAGATGATAATGATAACTTGTAATCTTGTTTCTTGTCTAGATAAATCATGTATCATATATTTAAAAAAATCTATTCATATAGATAAGTTTGTGTAGTAAATCGCTACGCCAAGCTACGGCGTAGCACTGTATGCTACGAGAATATAAAAATCAAACCAAATTCTATTCGAAACACGATCTATCTTAAGAATAACACGTGTATGTATATAAACTATTATAATTAACTAATATAGTACTGTACTTGTATTTTTTTGTAAAAAAGTAAGACTTAAAACTGTTATAAGACATCCTTATTCATTATATACGCGTGGGTACCACCGTAGCACAACACACGCTACGCCGTAGCCAAAAGTATTCACATTTTTGCGACTTATAAAAACAAAATACAATAAAAACAAAGTGCTACATTAAATATTAATACAGATATGAATATGAATAATATGCTACGAACATAAAAACTTAAAATGAGGAATATAAAACCAAACTATTTTTGGGAGGCACTTCGACGTAACAAAACGGACGAAGATAAAACGAAACCTCTTTTACCCACATAAAGTTTATTTCCATATAAACGTACTGTTACCAAAATTAAAATTCCGAAGCGAAAAATGTTGAAATCCTTCAGATTTTCCGGACCCTACAAGCCAATTAAAGCTGACCACAGATGTGCTAATCACGTAACCCCCACCGTCCATTGGTCAAACAGTACCTTCATTATTTAACCCCACTGATCACCAAGTCGGTCGTTTATACCAACAATTAGAATTTATCAAGGGGTTGTTGGTTCAAACAATTAGGTTGTTTCGCCGAGATAAGGGTTGATGTGCTACCAAAAGGCATGTTGTCACGTTATGTTAGTTGGGGGTTAAATATACTGAACATGTGTTTTCATGTTACTTGATGACTTGAAGTTGTCGTTCATGTTTAATAAACTTATTTTATTGTTTTAGCGACAATGTTGATTTTCATTTAGTTTTCTGAAGTTTCGCTACATGTGTAATGAAGGGTGAATAAATCTGATTTT